CAAGGGCGCATGCCCAGGTTGAAGGTTCGAGGCAGCCAATCCATGATTCTCTCTCACCATTGATATTTCTGTCTCTCTCTGCCGTCCTCTCTGAAATCAATAACAAAATATTAAAAAAACCACACCCATGAGATTTGATCTATTTGCATGTTTCAAAGCCAGATAGAACCATCATAAGCTGTGTGCACACGTGGCCATTTCCAGGACCAGGGCAGGGCTTGTGGAGAAAGGAGGACTCTGTTTCGGAGGCACGTCTTCAATTTTCTGGTTGAGGGAAAGGAAAAAGTGGCATCTCTCCTACTGCTCTGGGGTCTGGGAAGTCTGAGATCCAGGTGCTGGCATTCCGTTCCTGGGGAGGGCTCTCTTCCTGGCTTGCAGACGGCCGCCTTCTGACTGTCCTCACGTGGCCTCACACTGACCTTGAACCTGGGGAAAGAGATCTCATTCTCTCGTTCTTGTAAGTCCGCCGATCCTGCCAGATTCAGACCCCATCTTTATGACCCCATTTAACCTTAACTACCTCCTGAAAGCTCCATCTCCAAATACAACCACACCGGGGGGTAGGACTTCCACCTATGGGTTTTGGGAGGACAACATCCAGCCCCAGCACTTTCTCCCCGTCCCTGAGCACCGCGCCGTGCGACTCGACACCAGGAAAGGGTGTGAGATGATTGTGGATGCGAGATCCTGCTCAAGCGGGTCGTGAGCACTCTAGGCACGCTGCCGTGTGGGGGCCCGCGTGCTGCGGGCGTCGAGTCTGCACACTTGTGTTGCACGGCCGTGAACCATTTTTGCTGACTTCCATCTGGTGATGATAATGGCCGCTCCCTTTTAACACGTGCTTAAAGCAGCGGTTCTCAACCTTGGCTGCACATTAGAGTCACCTGGGAATCTTTTAAAAATCCTGATTGCTGGGCCTCATCCTCCGGAAATTCTGTTTCTTTGTCATGGGATGAGGCCACAACATGAGTAACAAAGAGACAGCATTTCCGGAGGATGAGGCCCAGAAACCAGGATTTTAAAAAGAATCCCAGGTGACTGTAATGTGCAGCCGAGGGTGAGAACCACTGGATTAAAGGGTTCCAGCTGCCAGGCGAAGCGTTTTATTTTATCCTGTAGCCTCCACAGCCCGAGATGGATGAGGCAGTCAGGTTGCTGCGCCCCCTTCACAGAGGAGGACTCTCAGCTCCGAGGGGCTGCGGACCTGCCCAGGGCACCACGGGGAGTGACCAGTTGGATCTGAACTCGGCGCAGCCCCGAGGCGCCCTCCCGCCACGCACCACGCCTCCCAGTCGGTGAGGCAGGCGGTCCCTCCGTGGCCTCCAGCCCATCATCACCAGGAGCCGGGCTCAGCCTTTGGAGGCAGCTGACAGGGAAGGAGACTCACGTGGGTCCAGTTCTCTCTCCTACGCCTTTGTTCTTGTGGGTCACCATGGGGGTGAAGGGGCACCTTCTGAAAAGCCCCTCCCAGTTTAAAAGCATCTGGCTCTTGTGAGACGTGGGGAAGTTTCTGGGAAGACACGCTGAGAAGCAGCAGCGGGTCCGCGGCCCTCCCCTCCGTGGCTCCTCAGCGGCCCTGTTCTCTCGTCCCCGCGCAGGACACTTCTCTGCGTTTCTAAGGAAAAGCCCGCTCGCTTGTCAGGAACCCGAAGGGAAAACGCTCACAGCAAACGCTTCTCCTCTCTGTCCGCTCGCTGGCAGCCGCGCGTCTTTGTCCTGATGAAGGTCTTTGCCTTGATAAGGTCTTTGCAGAGGCGCCCAGCTGGGGGGCCCGTCTGAACCCTCCCTCCTGAGAGGAGGGGGCAGTGGTTGGGGGAGGACCCGCGAGCTGAGCCCTGGTCCCCGGTGGCCAGAATGAGGGGGCTGGGCCTCCCCCCGACGTGTTCACACAGAGGTTTTCCCGAGGACAGACCCGTGCCCCTCCTCGCAGCCCTCGCTGACCACGCGGCTCGCTCTACGGCCGGGCGCCGCGCTCCCCTCTGTAGCCTGGGCCTGCTCTTCCCACAGACTGTCTGCTGGAGTGACCCCCCCCCCGGCACCCCCTGTGAGAATGGGGGGATGGAGGGCATGGCAACACCGCCTCTGGCCTGTTGGCCCAGCTCGAGGTGCCCGTGAGAGAGGAGCCAGGAAAACAAGGGAACAGTATGTGAACTCCTCACCTCATTGCCACGTGCCACGGGGCTGTGGGTGGCATCTGCCAGCGTGCAAGTTCCCCCAGTGGGTGTCTGCATGGGGCCAGTGACAAAGAACCACAGAGGGTGAGAGCGCGTGAGCGGCGAGTGGAAAACCACCAGGGCGGCCCCTCCCTGACCTGCGGGGGCTTCGCTGCACGTCTCCACCCTGCGACCCGTGACCCTGCGACCCTGCGAGGCTCTCAGGGGCCAGCCCCCGCCCCGGGTGGAGAGTGTTGCTCAGCAGTGAGTGCTCTGGCCAGCCCCCTTCTCATTCCTCTGGCCCCAGGGGTGGGACACTTCATTGGTGGGGGGTCAGGGGTGACTGCCGCCCCCCACCCGCTTTTTCTTGCTGACGGCCC